GCAATAATCATGTTGTCTAATCAGCATCTTGATATGCCACACCTGTGAGGTGGGATGGATTATCTCGGCAAAGGAGAAGTGCTCACTATCACAGATTTTTTCTGATTTGTGAACAATATTTGAAAGAAATGGTTATTTTGTGTATGTAGAAAATGTTTTAGATCTTTGAGTTCATCTCATGAAAAATGGGAGCAAAAACAAAAGTGTTGCATTTATATTTTTGTTCAGTGTAGATACAAATGCAGTTAAATGTGTGGCACTGAAAGAGTACAGACAGAGACTTACCCTGAAGGACATCTCAATATTTTCACCGCCCCAGATCTCCATCTTGTCATCGTATGTTCCAATGTGTTCAAAGTATGTCTTCAAGATTGAGAAGAGACCTCCAGCAAAAGTAGGGGTTCTGTAATTTGCAGAGAAAGATACAAATGTTTATACACCTAAATGACTCAGCTCGTTCTTAGTGAAACCAACAGGATCCTTCTTACTTTACAGGGTAGGTTTCATCCTTGCGCAGCTTCCTCGCCTCCTCAGGGATCTGCTCCCAGCCGAAGGACAGGCTCCAGTCAAAGTTACCTCGGTTGTAAGCGCGGCTCGAGGCCACGGGCTTGTTGAACTGAAAGGTGGTAAGATCAATGGTGGTGATCTCTGGACTAACCACAGCGGTGGGTTCCTCGACAATGCGGGCCAACAGGGGCTCCAGCCAGCCGTGGAAGCACTCACCTAGACAAGACAAATATGTTTAACTATCTTTACGTTTTAGGTAAACAGAGTTATGATGGGTTGAGAGGGCAATGCATGGCTTCAACATGCAAGTATTACATAACATTGTGTTCGTTTCAAGCATGCTGTAATCAAGCACGATCTGTTTCTAACAAATGATGGTCAACAAAGTATAACTTATACGTCTACTGAACGTTTTACTGATGAGTGCATGAAATACAACACAGATTCAAGTTTTTAAATTGGACCGAGACATGAATAACCATTGGATATTAAGCAAAACAATCATGACCACAATTTTATCCAAAATACTGCCATTATGTATACAGCCCAAACCAACTTTTTAGAGAATTAAAGGAAATATGAGACACTTTATGGCAGTATGGTGAGTATTTAGCAAATATTGAAAAAAACACATAAATCCCTAACCCTGGTAGTGCAATTTCCCCCAAGTAACTACATACTAATGCTTGAAAACAGCCAAGGTGGCTTGTGTATTGTTGCTCTTGTTGTTGTGTGTGTGTTTTCTCACAGTGTGCGTCGAGAAAGGTTAGCACTTCTCCCTGAGCAACACTGGCCCCCAGCAGCCTGGCAGTGATGAGGCCCTTCCTCTCCGGCTGCCTCAGGACACGGACAATCTTCAGCTGACGCACATAGTCCTCCAGTTGGCTCTTCAGGTGCTCTGTAGGGAGAAAAACATTATTGTGTAAGCCTCGTCTTCATTTAAAAACAATGCAAATGTATTCTAAAATGTGATGGTTACTGGTGAACATTTTAAACTACACTCTATAGTGTTGCAGAGTTTAGTCAGAGATGCAACAGACTTGAAACAGAAGTTGTCATTGAAAACTACTATTTTCAGCATTAAATATGAATGAATATGGATAATTGCTGCCCCAGAAAGAAAGTGAAACAATCCTATGTATACCTTTGAGACCACTGCCAGAATAACAACAAAGTGGAAAGGGTTCTAGTAAGAGTGGGCTATACTTCTCCTTTTATGACCACAATCTCTCTCAGGCAATCTGCCGGCCAACCGCATGTTTAAACGTTGTGACAGAGCTGCTGTGCTCGTAGCAAAAAGTGAAGTTCCTTAATACGAAATACAGCTGAGGGTAACTGTATCTGAGGTTATTAAAATAACTGTCAAAGAGGATGTTTCAACTCTGCTAAATGCTGAAGTATCTAACAGCAAATGAAGCAATGTGCATGACTTCAGTCGTTTACATACCTGCTTCACTTCGAAGGAAAGCTAGTGTCAAATGTTTTGGAACGAAAGTGAATAAAATTAACCAAATGTACAGAACAATCAATAAACCAAAAGGGGGAGTGACAGCAGGTTTGTATATTAAAAAGTCCAGTATGATACCAAATGTTTACAGACAACTGTGTTATGTTGTTGCTGCACAGTTATCTGTGACAGTTCCTCAAGGTGAACAGTTTGCACAGTGAAGTCATAGAAACATTTTCCTATGCAAAACATACTACAAAGCTACACTTGTATGTCAAAGCTGGAACAGCCATGATAAAAGAAGCCTGTCACTTTTGCCAGCTCTCACCGAGGTGGAGGAGCTCACGGAGAGTCTTTTGTCATGTTGGTGCGCACCACAGTAATTCGTATTTCGCTAGAGGTCAGCGTATTGCACATAACTATAGTAAAATACACAGTGCCATGTTTATTTATGATACCGACTGCCTGTTACTGTGTGTGCAAGCTGCTAAAAAACACAAAGTGACACCTTTCTTATCAACGCTCACAGCTTACAGTGGATTGATGCCACAAAAACTTGAAGGTCAGTTTAATTAATACATCACCTATAAGATTTTCCAAAGGTGCTCTGCAGTGTTTCCCCACGTATACCCTTAGAAAGAAATGATTGACAAGAGCTTCCTGGTGATTTTATAGTGTCGTTTAATCATATTTCATAATGTATGTTTTTTAGGTACTTACATTCAAATGACTGGACCACCAACTCCCCGGCACTCAATAGGTTAGTATAACATACGCATTTTCTCTCATTTACTGCCCGATTAAGAGCAGAAATATCACAAAAAAGTGATTCCTGCAAGACTCTTACAAAAAGGTATTTTATATGTTCCGAGTGTTCAACTTATGTGTGGTCATTTGTGTGTGTGTTTATATTTTTCCTACCTGCAACACTGGCGTCGTCTACCAAGATGATCTCTATGAGCAGCGAAGCAGGAGACGTGTGCAGGACGCTGTAGACCGTCCTGAGGAGGGTGGACCAGGCCTCATTGTGGAAGACAATAATAACACTGGTGGTAGGCAGAGGAGGACAGTGACGAAACTTCCTCTCCACACACCTGGATGACGTGCACCGCGACAGAAAAAAAAAGAAGGCCAAGAGAGTGTCGGAGTGAGAGGCCTATCCGACTAAAAGTAACATATCTTGAAGAGCCACATACCCGTTTGCAGATATTCAATGTGTGCTCAACAGCAAATAGAGTTATGAGCAAACAGTTATAAAAGAAATAGCTCAAGGCTTATTAAACCTGTGACATGTTTAGTTGTTATAGGCTGAATACATAAACAATATGTTTTTACAACACCAGATAATGCCCATTTACATGTGCTCAATGCCATGTAGTCTGTGTTGTGAGCACAATATGAAAATCTATGTAAATAATTAACAGCTCTGAGCATGACCCAGCTGAGACCCAAGATATTATCTGGCGTGTCGGCACTCTTCTTGGTGAAAGGGCGACTAATCTACCACGTGTCATATTATTTTGAGAACATGTTCTTACTCTGAAGGCCGCGTGTCGTCCCCAAGACTACGGCTGAGTGAGATGCGGTCGCTGGCAAACTGGTTGAAACAGTGGCGAGTCATACCCTCCTCCTTCTCCTTCTCCTCCTCAGGGGACAGATTGTCTTTCAAAAATGCCTTCCCATCAGCCCCGAGGCTATTGGGGTCCTGAGACGGTCTCTCCAGGTGAGGTTTGAGCTCAGTCTGAGTGTAGATTCCAGAGGGGCATTTGGTGTCCTCGGTGGGCTGCACCAGGACTGACACTGGCTGCGGAGCTCTGATCTGGAATCCAATGTTGTTGACAGCGTCTCGTACCATCACCATCACTTTATCCTTCTTTACGACCAGCTCCTGAAACCAGGGGTCACCACCTGGGGAGGGGCCAACATCCCTCTGGAGCACCACTATGACCACCAAGAAGAGAGTCCCCCCAAGGAGCACCAGTTTAAGGGGGGACAAACGCCGTCGAAGTAACAGACGCATCTTTCCGAATATATATGTTGCTCCCGAGGCTGTTAAAAACAGAAAACAAACTAAATTATTCCTCAGGTACTGGCTGCAAAATTATTCCAGCATGTAGCCTGAGGGTTTTAAGGCTTTATTCAAAACCAACTCTACTGAAAACCTTACCTGCTTTTACCCTCTAAACATTCTGTGATTTATTCCCCAGGCAAAAGAAAAGGCGACAGGGAAGAAGATCATTTCTTAAACCGGTTTGTGCGTCTGTGCAAGTGTCATAGCAGCAGGAAACCTTGCCATTGTCGCTCCTCCTCGTCTCTTTAGGAAACAGTCCCACAGGGTGGGTGGAGAGACCAGGGAGGAGGAGAGAGTGAACAAACACACCACACCTCTCTGTAAGCACCTGAATTCACCTGCTTCGGCCACAATCCTCCAGGACCCACGTGGCAGCAGGTAGGCCAACAAACCACAAGTCCCTCATCTGTTAATAAGTGACACATAACACCTTGAATCCACCCCTGCTCAGTCACATCACCAGTAATGACCAGTTGTCATCTGCTACAGGAAGTAGCTACGTGGAACATGACAGGACCATAACATCACCCTGCCTGGGCAAAATAAGAGGCTTTTTCCTGCTATGTGACACAAGATATCACTGCAATGTTGATATCTGTGTCTGCAGGTGATCACTGTTCAGTTTGAGACTCACTCTCACTGGTTCATAATTCATTTAATCTATTCTCAAGCCAGCCTCCCTCATAATTGATTCAAGAGGACAGTCTTTGGGTGTTCCAGAAAAGGAAACCACAGTCCAAGCTGCAGTTTCACTAATGGTTCGCCAGTGGCCGAGGTGGGGAAAGTAGAAGTACCGCAAGAGTGTAGTAATAAGTCCTTTATTGTTGCGAATGTTACTCAACAAAAGGTACAACATAATTACCATCAAAATATACTTAAAAGTACCAAAAGTAAAAGTATTCATCATGCAAATTGGCACATTTCTGAATAATATATTATATGTTTTGATTATAATTATTGATGCAATAAAGTCTTATCAAAGCTGGTAGAGATGCAGCTAGTTTTAATTGTAGTTGGGTAGAAGTACAAAGTAGCAAAAAAGGTAAATACTCAAGTAAAGTACAAGTCCCTTAAAATGGTACTAAAGTACAGTACTTGAGTAAATGTTACTTTGCACAACTGACCAGTTGGTCTAGTTTTTTGTAATGACAATTAGAACAAAGGATAAGGAAGAAGGAAATATTATTGACTAACTTTAAATAAGCTTGAGTAGTTTGTAAATCTGTGATGTGTGCCAACATTACACATTATTCCCTCAAGCCAATTTACACAGTATTTGAATATAAAATAGATCACGAGTGATATCAGATTTCTACAGCATAAGGCAACTTGAAGAAGACAATAAAAAAGGTGCCAAGAACAGACAAAAGTCATTCAGCAAAACGATTCGATACAGCAAAATGAAAGAGGAAGAGTTGTGGCATTCCTGTTTTACTTCAGAATATTTCGGCACATGTTTTATCTCTTTAGCGGCTCTAGAAATCACTTATTTAAAAGGAATGAATGAAACATGCCAGTCAATATTAAAAATGACACCGAGTCGCAACAGAAATGTGAAGAGTGAAAGGTTTAAATCTCCAAAATACCGCCACTTACCTAAAATTCACGACCAGTGGTCGCCTACACCTGTTCCGGTTGATTTCTTCAACAGTGTGTTTCCAAATGAACTCGCGGCAGGACTTTCAACTATGTACAAGACGTCAGACCGGAGTTCTGAGCGAACCAGGATACAGTAGTTTCGTGGCCTCCCGTGATCTCCTTTGAAGCGAACAGGTGCCATTTGTTGAAATAATTAGATGGAGTGAGTCCCCTGCTGGCCGCGGGAACTCTTTATTTCCGTGCAGCGCGTTCACTGTCGTGCTCCTATTGAAGTGTCCGTCAATCTGAGCCAAACACGGAAGAAGACACTAAACAACAGCGGTGGAGGAAGTACACTGATGTGCTTCTATAAGTAGAAATACAACAGTGTAAAATTAACAGTAGTGTAAAGAAACTCAGTACATTTACTCAAGTGTTGTACTCAAGTACACCATTGAGAGACGTGTACTTTACTTTAGTATTTCAATGTTTTGCTACTTTGTACTTCTACCACACTACAATTCAGAGGTAAAAAATGTACTTACTCCACTACATGTATTTTATATCTTTAGTTCCATTGCAGATTTTGTTTAATAATGTGAAATATAAACAACACTTAAAAAGGACTTTAGTTACACCTGGAGTAACATTCACAAGCTACCCTGCAGTATACAAAGTCATTAAACTAGCCGCACCTTTACCTTGATAAACACTGCATCAATAATTATAAGATAAAATAAGATAATCTAATATAATACATAATTCTTGAATGCATAATGAGTATTTTACTTTTGGGACTTTAAGTAGAATCAGAAATCAGAATCAGAAACAGGTTTATTGCCAAGAAAATTGCCTTGGTATACATGGTGCATACATAAACACAGTTTATTTTGATGCTAATACCTTTGTACTTAGTATTCCTACACTGTGGTAGTTGTACTTAAGTACAAGATATGAGTACTTCTTCAACCTCAAAATACTCTTGTTACAAGTAAAATCCCTGCATTTGAAATCTTACTGAAGTAAAAGTACAAACTTTTTAGCATCAAAATAAACCAAACGTAGTATGTACCAAAAGTAAGAGGGCTAATTGTGCGATATGTCCCATTTTATAATCATATATCTGTTCATCACAGCTGGTAAAAGTTGAGATATGCTTAATTACTTTATAAACTACACCTCAAAGGTAGTGGAGTATGTATAAAGTAGCATACAATAAAAATACTAAAGTAAAGTGCTAAACACTAAAAAGACTACAAAATAAATAAATTAAACAAAAAGGTAACAAGCAAATAAAAAATGTTTGGTAAAAACATATAGCAACAAGTTATGTAGCCTTCATATCATGCAGCTAGTACAAATGTATGCAAGCTACAATAGCCACACTAACTTGTTAACCAGAGTGTATTACATACACATTACAAGTCCCTGTATCATGGGCTTGTTATGGTGACATTAGTGTTTTTTCATCAGGGATTAGGAGGAATTTATGTTGCTTAATTAATGTTCAGCATAGAGTGCTGTGAGTGAACATTGCCATTACCTCAACAGAAATACATTATTCATGTGTAAGCAATTAAATACTCTCTCCTGTATCACCCTCTTGAAACTGTAGACTGATTTATTCAGAAAAGGAGAAGGAGGCATCTCTCAGGTTACTGTCACAGGGAGAAATCTTGATTGCAGGCTGCTGATTGACATGAGAGCTAAACCCAAACAAATAAGCAGGCTAAAGCTGTGTTGTACAATGATCTATTAGAGTGGTCCGTTTGTATTGTGTGAACGTTTTTTTAATTAGTTTTAAGACCATTGTTGGGATTTTCATCCGTCTGTAATATTCAGACCTTTTCTAAAACAGCAATCATCATTAACATGTTTTTCACAATGTATTCCCCTCAACAGAGCTCTGCTCTACTGAAGATAGGTGGTGCCGTTGTGCTATTTTGTAAAATCAATGTTCTACTGAAGAGACCTCAACAAAAATAATAAACCAATAAAAGAAACACAACCAATGAAAAACAGCCATTTATTATTTCTTATCCAATGGGAAATTAATCAAATAAATCATTGCACTATTTCTTTAAACTCTGCCATTATTTAAAAGGAACCCCATAAATAATAGGGATAAGCAAAAAAAAGTACCTATTTTGTAGCCTTCACATGATGTGGCAATTTTTGGCTCAGACAGAAAAGTGAGTGTATCAACACCAGGTGTAACGCTTGTCCAAATGTAAAATACATCCTCATTTTTCAGCAAATCATGACGTCCAATCAGATTGGCTTCTAATACAATGATTAAGCTCCTTTTTCAGTACCAAAGGCAATGTCAAGAGTGGTTTTCTTCAGTAGTATTTTCTTAGTGGGCAAAAATAGTCATTATTACATACATTCATATGGTTATTTTGAACGACTCATTTTGCGGGGATACAAACCTCCACGTGCCAGATCGGGTCAAATACTGTTGTGTAAAGTTGTGAATATTGGTCCATGAAGTACGCGGACCTTTGGATTGCATAATGTGAAGGCAATACTTGTGAGCAGACAGAGAACTCCTGCATACAGTTAATCCTGATGCTGTCAAGAAACCAGTTTATGTTCAAACATTATAACACAATTCAAACTAAATGTTTTCGGAGGCTTTAGCTCGTGTTTGAATAAAATGAATCACAGTCTGCAGTAGACACAATTCTCTTCAAACTATCATTTTGACACAAGAAATCAGGAATGGACAAATAAATCAGAGGAATAATATAAAACATGCCTTGCAGCAACCAGTTTGGCAAGAAAGCATTGTCATACAGTATCATAAAAACCTCACAGTGAAAAGTTACAGTATGCCCCTTCATAGATAAAGATCAGCATTCAGCTGTATGTGCTCACACCCATACTTGCACACACACACCCATACATACATGACTCAAACACACTTATATAAAAATGTTTCAGAATCTCTCTTCAGTACCAGGATACTAAATGCAATGGTTCTTCCTTCATTTCATACTTTTTGGCTTCAACCAAAAATGAATTGCAGGGTGTGAGTAATCAATCGTACATTTCAGTGAACCACAAACAGCCTTGTGTCCAGACTGTGGCTAATCACAGGCTAGGAGAACAAATAAGGCCCTGATAAGAAACACAAGTCCAAGCCAAGGTTATTGTGAGCGTTTTTATCTGCGTATGTGTGCATGTGTGTGTTCTCCTTCATGAATAAGTACACAACAATAAAAGTGTTCGTCCCTATCAACGACAGTGACGTTACCGTGGCATTTGCTTTCAAAAGATGAATAAATTACTTCAGTTTACTTTTGAACAGAATCATTAGTGTGGGTTTCATATCAAACATTTGTTCTTTGGTCATGTTCATCCTTCATGTTCTCCTTGCATATATTCTTTTTAAGTAACATTTGTATATATATATATTTATCTTCTTATTTGTACAAGGTCATCACAAAAATCCGTCCACACGAAAATAAATAATGACTCCAGATGAAATACTTGTACTATTGCTCATAAACACAAGCATAGCCACTTCCGACCTAAGGCAACTGGGCTTTGTGATTTCTCGAGCAGCTTGGGAAAAATCCTTCAGTCATGAACAACGTCCTACATGTGTGCATCTTGACAACATACAGACAGGCCGACCGCGCCTCTGTTGACGTCCTCCGTCCCCCGAGTGTTTCGCATCGCGCCTCGGTGCTCATGGCCGAGCTGACCACTCAGTCTCTCTGCAGTCTGTGTCCGTGCAGTGGGAGTCACGCTGCGGTCGGCTGGCCTGGTGTTAACTGCCCGGGGGACCGCTGGTGAGGAAGTAAGTGGTCATCTCCCCCTTCCCCTTCACCTTGACAACACCCCGACAGTCCAGCTTGTAACCGTTGTTGACCAGCACGTGGTATAAGTCCGTGGTCACCTAAGAGAGGACACGGACATTTGACACCCAGAACATGAGACACTCAACCCTTTCCAAGAGAAACACTGTCTGTCCCATTTTCACTTAAAATAATAACACTTACGTGACTTCGATTATTGACTTCAATTCGATAATAACATTTTATTTTAAGAATCAATTAATTTTTGGGAAATAAATCATACAATAAATACAGAATATTCACTCATTCCAGCTTTTCAAAGTGAGCATTTTCTACTTTTCTCTATTTCATCATTTGAAACTGAATTTATTTTGGTCTCCAGTCCGATTTGAAGATGTGTTGCTTCTCTGTGTCTAATAAATTAGACAGTTGGTTGATTAAAACTATATTTTTATCTTTTTGTCTAAAACGTCATAGAATAGGTCATAAATAAACTGAACAAAAATATTATCAACAGTTTGATTGATGATGGAAATAACCATTAGTGTGTCGAAGGGATTTGTATTTGCAGTAACACACACTGTTCAGCAGATGGCAGCATTCTTCTGACTGTAATCTTTGAACCAGACGATTTATGGATTTGATTTGGGGCCACAAGAATTTCACTAAAGCTCTTAGCTGTTGTTTTTTACACATTTCAAAATGAGTGTTAACATCAACCACATAACCACGAATGAGTAGAAAACACAATTTCTGCTCGAGAACAGCATGTCCCGTGCTGACAGGGATTCTCGCTCAAAGGACACTTTGAACCAGAAAACTATGCACTGATTGAAACTGCACTAGCAGATTTTTTGTGTGACTTTGAAAAACCACAACTAATTATTTAACTGTACATTCCTTTGAGAGATCAACAATTCTCAGCTAGGGCAATGTTTGCAGTGTAATAAAAAAAAATGTGAGTATAAAAAAACACAACTGATACACACTTTCATGTTGGATTGACTAATGGCATCAGCTTAGTGACTGATTTAATAAGTAACTGGCATGATATTCCGCATTGGCTGTTTCACTGAACAAAAACTTGGAAAATGCTTGTTGTGTTCATTGCCAAAGTTTTGTGTGTGTACTGTATGTTGTGCTGTGTATGTAGGCCAATGCTAAAGACACTTTTTTATTTTATGCAAATGTAATGGACGATAAAGTGATCTGAATCTGAACGAAACAACACATGGTAGAATTGTGGGTCAGTACCTGGATGCAGTCTGGTACTCCTGTGCTGTCCATGCGGCTGGCCACATTGACTGTGTTCCCCCAGATATCATACTGGGGTTTCCTGGCTCCAATCACCCCCGCCACCACTGGCCCCATGTTCAACCCTGAGACCAAATCATCTGTCTGTGTTACATTACTACACCATATCCACTCAATTACAATGCTGTTTCTAAGGAA